AGCATAAGCTAAATATGCAGGGTTTTTGATTAAAGTCCCACCATGGGCCCAATAGCACTACCCCCGTCTAATTTGTTACTATTTTTCTTATACAGAAACTTCAACAGCTCCTCCAATTCCAGCAGCTTTTTAAATAAACCTACATTTGCCTATTTAGATGTGATGCTTACCTTTGCTAAAAAAACAAACAAAAAAAAGCTTACTTAGCTTTCCACTTCTATGTGATGTCAAGGAAGGAGCTGGGAAGTTATCATTTATCATAATCAACCCTGTCTGTACTGTGCTGGCAGATCTTTTGTATACAAGAGGTTCTAATCTAGACCGTCTGTCCTAACAAAGCGTTAAAGATCTCAAGGCTTGGGTGGTACATTGTATGTTAATGGACTTAAAAAAGAACTGTGGCCAGCTGGAAACAGCCTTATGTACCTACCTTGCAGGAAACCATAGCAGGAGTACAACTGAACTGCCAACATAAAAGGTTGATAGCTTTTAGGCTAAATACCCATTCACAATTCTGTTCTAAACAGAAAGACTGGATCTCATATACACGCCCCTGAATAACCCATCATATTCCCTCTATCTATAAGGTATGTAATTATATTGGCTACACTCATTACTGGTACCCCTGGATCCTGGTTTTAGCTGGAATAATTTTAGTTTTTGTTTGTTTTGTTTCTTGTGTTTTATTGTTTCTCTATATCTACCGACTATGCAATATAGTTTACTGTGCATATGTTATCTTCAATTTCAATGCACAGGCAAATACTTGCTACTAAAAAAAAAAAAAAAAAAAAAAAAGAAGTTTAAACAACAAAGTGGAAAAAAAAGAACTGTGGCCAAAAATTGTATTAACTGTTGCAGTGGGGCTACCCCCACAGTGCAAGGGTTAACTACTCATTTTGGTCTAGGGAGGAAAATAACAGAGTTCTGACAGTGCTCCCTCTAGTCTGTCTTCTCCTCCGATACAGTGATGGTATGTCCCTCGGCGTCCTCACGTCCTATACACTGTGTATAGAAAGTGATGACTCAGGGACCTTAGACCGAGGTAGGCCGACTGCAAGGGTTAATAAAAATTTTACCTGGAGTTCATCCCTCAGTCTGTCCCTTATCTCCGCATTGCATTCTATTTTCAGCAATAGAAGCTGCCTATAGAGTTATATTTATAAACCTGCTGCAAAGAAACAAACTAGATTGGTAAGAAATCGTTTTTTAAAGATTATTTTTAGGTATGATGTGAATGGGAACGCATATAGCAAACATATAGCGGGGCTTCTCAAATTTGACTGCTCCATGGATTCTATCAGATATTCTCTCATAAAATGCCAAGTCAAGCAAGTAATTAGAAAGTAATAGAATTTACCACTGTGAAAATTGGAGGAAGTCATAAAAACGTTTGCGAACAATCTTAGTGACTAAGAATGACTAACTTCCTGTAGGAAGAAACTTTCCCTGTGCTTTATAAGTTGGGAATGACTCATTATAAAGTAAACATAGGCACAGGTAGTGCAGAGACATTACTTCATGCTCCAGTTCCACATATACAGAGAAATGTCAGCAATGCATTGCCCCAAGCTATAGGCAAAAAAACAAGCGGTTCCTACAATTCAGCACTGGAATGATGATTATGTGTAGATGTACCTACATAGACAAACTACCAGGAAAGTATCACACATGCCAAATTGCACACATGCAACAAACAAAATAAACTGGTCCTTATTTTGTATTACATTCTCTTTCCTTCTATACATACACAGTACTTTGCAAAAGCCAGCTCTTCCGCAGAAGCATAAAAAAGGTTGAGGACCAAAAACACAGTGGTTTGCCAAAGAAACTTAACGCAGCATATCAGAGATATATTATATATAGATATATCTATATACACATACATACATGTATACACATACACACATCAAGCTTAAGCTGGCCAAACTCATTTTTGGTCTGCTCCTGCTGCCAAAATTCGACCAGTGTGTGTAGGCACGTTTGACAAAAGTTGACTTCTCAAATTGATTCGTGTCGAAGGAGAAAATCAGCTGCAGTCACTGATTGGGTATTCTGACAGCGGCAAACATGCCGCTGTCAAAATACAATAGCCCAGAAGGAGAGATTCCCCCATTCATGAGCATCCTTTCTCATTCAACCCACTATCAGAAGAAGAAGTCCAGCACTGTTATGAGCTCCGAGATGGAAGAAACCAGTGGGACTCTGATACACCCATCTACAGCATGCTGAAGTTTTATAATAAGTGGTCTTCATGGAGGACTTGCAACTAAAAGCCATACCTGCAAAGTGGAAATACAGCCAAACACAACTCGCTTATACACAAATGCACAAGGCCTGGTGTGCACAGTGAAGGTTCCCTGAATGTCTAGGGCTGCATTTTCACAAATAGTGATTTGAACAAAATTGATGGCACCCCTACTGTTGAGCACTACCATCATATTGTTCTCCATTGTGCAATACTGTCCTAGCTTGTTAACCAGCACCTGGCTACACCTAGTCCTGTCCACTGGTTTTCCAGTACTGCCTGTTACTGAAAACACGGCTACTGTGAGCTGCAGCATCTGAGAGGGAGAATATGTGATACACAAAAGGCTCAGTCACAGAACGTAAAGGAAGTTTTTGTTTACTTTATGAGACTTGTGCATTACAGAGTAACGGGATATGGGACTTCTTTAGACTGATACAGGCACCTTTAGTTGTACTTTAAAAGGCAAAGGGTGGTCACACCAGAAACATATTTACAGTATAATGGCAAAAGGTATGTGGTCATCCCTCCTATTTATTGAGTTAATATGTTTCCTGTAAAGATCAAAACTAGAGCAGACAACATCTGGGGCAGCTGTGCACTGCAACCAATCAGCTTTTCTCTTTCATTGTCAAATCTTAACTGAACTAAAAAGAGAGAAGCCGATTGGTTGCCCTGGGCAATTGCTCCAGATTGTGTCTGCTCCAGCTTTGACAAATTCCCCCCAGAGTGTATTTTCAAATATTTCCACAACATTAAAAGGAAATTCAAATCAGGGCTATGTCTAGGCCAGTCCATATCTATCCATTTCTTCTTTTTGCGGCATTCCTTAGTGGATTTGCTAGGGTGCTTCAGACCATTAACATGTTGAAAGATCCATTTTCAGTTCAGCTTCAGCTTTTGGACAGATGGCCTCTCATTCTCAAGCACACTTTGATATGATGCCGAATTCCTAGTGGACTCAATGACGGCATGCTGCTCAGGCTCTAAAGCACCAAAGCAACCCCAAAGCATAACATTTCCAGCACCATGAGTTTCTTCTCCTGAAATGCTGACTTCGGTCTGCGCCAAACGATTCTCATTGATTCATCAGTCCAAAGAACATTGCTCCTGAAGGCCTGGCCTTTGCGTATATGGTTAATGGCAAACTGTAGTCTTGCTCTAATGTTCTTTTTGGACAGAAAAGGCTTTTCTCTGCACCTCTCATGCAGTTTAAATTGGTGCAATCTTTTTCTCACTGTGGATGCATGCACTTTGACATCAACTGTTGCAAGAGTTTGCAACAGATCCCACAATTAAATTTTGGGGTTCTTTGAGACATCATTTGACATCAAACCACTAGCTCTTGGGCTGAATTTTCTTGACCAGCCAGCCCTGGACAAATTATTAGTCATTTGAAATCCACACCACTTGTAGAATATTTTCTCTAAAGTAGAATTATTTATTTCAAATACTTTGGGGATCTTTTTAAATCCTTTACAAGACTAATAGGTATCCACAATCTTCTATCTGAGGACCTTAGACAGCTCCTAAATAACAAAGGACCTGCATACTCTCAGGAGGAGGTTCTAAATATTGACATCTAATCTGGAACACCTGATTCTAATTTTGTATGTTTGTATTAAACGTGGTGGCAAATGTAGGGGTGTACTTAATTTCTCCACCTGACAAATCTATATTTTGGTTATTTATTTTACAATGTTTGAATACAAAATCCAGTGTGTGCCTGTTTAAAAATGCTGAAAAAGACAACAATTTCCATGAGGTGATTTTTTATTTTTTTACTTTAGTATACAGTATGTCTGCATATCAAGGCAAAAGATTTGAGGTTCTATCCTAGAAGTGTCTTTAGGGCTACCAATGTAGTTTTCCTTTACAGTATTACTTTCTGTTAGGGTGCCACTAAGCATAGCCAATCAAGACAAAAAGGCCTAAATTAGACACACTGTATATGTGGACATTTCAGATATCAGTTAATCTGGATATGTTGTTACTTCCCTTCAGCGTCACGCAGTCGATAACCTTTCATGAACTGTGCGAAAAAGGCCTTTGTCTAAAAATGGCCTAATCAGCTTGCTGGCACTCTTACAGAGGTTCATCGTAATAAAATGTGATGGCACAAATCGTTAACATCACAGTCAGGAGAGCACAATTACTCAGTTGTGATCACTTTAATAACAGACCACCAGTTGTGATCACTTTAATAACAAACCATTAAACAAGGAATACATTCTTTGTTCATAATGTACTAAATAATATTTTAGCCACTGGCTTACTACTGTAACCATGAACCAATTCTAACACCTCTTCCCCCTCCCAATATTATCTTTATTAATTTGCCTTGCTGGAGTAAAAAGGAACCTTGCTGGAATGTAGAGTTGAGCAGGTAGGACAAATGAATATGGTTGGAAGTTCAACCTCTACACTGCAGGACCACCTATAAGGGCACAAACCAATAGCAAACAAACAGAAGGTAATATTTTGGCGTGAGAGGAGTACAAGATGGATTCTGGATTCATCCTTGAGCATCAGTTGTTATGCCTGCTCGCCTGCCACAGCAAGTTAATTATGAGGAAGTGGGAATGACATGGACTTTGGAGCTTCAGATAGATGTAAACATGTAACAGAGAAATTTTTGTGTGACTGACCATCTACTGCACCAAAAAGTACCGCTTACCATTCTGTCTTATTAGTTATCATTCATTCTCTAAAAACGTGTAAAATGACATTTGTCGATAAATCATTTACATACCAGCACTTTGTTTTCAAATTTGTCTCCTTTGACTTCTAGTTTCACCTTCTTCCGCACAGCAATCTTAATTTTTCTTCCGATAACATCCCTTATGCTTTCTGAAATTGAATGAGGACAAATCTTAGAATCATTTTAATACATAAATCGCAAAATTGTTTTATTAGGAGCAGTAGAGAGCTTTTTGATGTATCACTATAGCATTTTGAGGGACACAACAGGAGTACTTAGAAGTTTAAACATTTTAAAAGGTCATGCTAAGGACCCATTCACAGGAGGACACGTGGCACATTCTGTGCTTCCTGCGGCATAAACCTATAGATTCTTGCGGCCGAAATGCCAGGCGCACCGTTTCGGATAGATAATTGTCGCTGGACACAGGATAGATACCTCCAGGGATAATCATCTATCCCAAACCTCATGTAATCATATCGTATTTGACTACATGCAGACTGCCACTTACAGATGTGGCCACTGTCACCCTGTCATTAACCTTAATGGGTACAGCGGCCACATTCGAATGGGGACACCTGGCATTCCTACGGCAAGAATCCAATCGGATTAGTTATTATTTCCAATTTTAATACCACAAGGGATTGTTGGGAAAGCACAAGTAAACATATTGAGTGTATGGCCATTTCATATATGTACTTTGGATATTACATCGAATAATTTGACACAAAATATATGGTGAATATTTGTTGGAATAAATACTAAATAACGTAATAAAGTTAAAAAACACTCATGCATTAACACTTAAGAATTCACATAATAAATACACCATTCATTCAATATCAGTAAACTAGTTTTACTTTTGGAAATCTGACAAAACATATAAAAGCAGACGTGAAAATCTAAATTAATTGTGTGCTTTATCACCATTTCCAGGTGTGCATCGATTTTAATTTGTCAGACAGAGACGTTCCCACAGAAGGAACAAAGTCAGACATATAAAGACTGCATGTATTTTAATGTGGTGTGAACAAGCCCTAAACGATAAGTGTAGTTTTTGAGGCAAGGTGTTTAACAATGTATAATATTACTGTAGACATCACATACGGTACCTTAATTTATCTTTTAGAGTAATCCAAGTGTCCCAAACCTTAGATCACTGTATTATCAACCTCAGCTTTAGCCTAACTACTCCTATATCTTCCTGAGACTGCTTGTTACATTGATGAACCTATAGTGAGATGCTGACGTTCCAACTTCCTTACTGAAATCAGCTTCAGAGCACCCTAAAAGATATCATGCAGGCTTCTCCAGATGCCTGCATTAGCATTCCGATGGCAGTCACCATAGGCAAAAAACTCAAAATACAACCTGGTCACCTGCTCACAGTAGAACTCTTGGCTGCCACTGCCCATCGACAATGCAGACTCTCAGTTGAATCATGTGCAATGAAAGCAGGGGAAGAGAGGCTTTGGATGACTGCCCATCATGATGGAGCTAGAAAGCAGGACAAGTCTAACAGGTATACTCAACAAGCAGGCACCTGGCTGTGTTTAACTGTTTGCTGCAGAGTGCAATAGCAGCACAGTAATCATTTTATACAAAAACACTAGACCTCAGTGGTATAGGTAACACCTACATCCAGATATAATAAACTAGGTCAATTATCTGAAGCTCTATGAAGAATGTGTAGGGCAGACTCTCAACCCAAGATGAAATACTGGAAATAATATTCAGGTTTCCAGGGACCCCTGCTAAAAAGAATTCTACCTACAGCTCATGGTGCATTAGCCACACTATATTGGTGGTCGATGAGAAAAGGGCTTCCTTGCACTGGTGGTCAATGGAAAGAATACCCGGATGATCAGGGAGAAAAAAGCCCATTGAAACAGAAGTCCATGAGAAAAATCCCCAATTTAATGGTGGTCAGTGTAAGGCCCCCATACATTGTTGGAGAGTGGAGAGAATGCTCCTTACATTGGTGGTCAGTGGGAAGAATCTTCCCTTTACAGACAGCGAACATGATCACTGGTGCCAGTGGTTATTTATTTAAGACATGAAAGAAGAAGGTCCACTGGTCCCAATCCAGTGGTTCTGCTGAGTGGTGTTGCTGCCAGAACTGTGTGGGCACCATCAGGCAGGAGTTCAATCCATCACTGTTTACTGCTCAAGGAATTCCTAGCAACCTCTGGAACCCTGGTTGAAAAACACTGATGTAAAGCATACATAAGTGGCAGACTAAAGCTCAGCTGCCTGCAGGAACTCACACTTGTGAAAATTGTTCTATACACCACCCAAATACCCAAGAGACTGGACTTTTGTTCAGAGACTTTGTAAAAGTCGACTTGGAAAGCAAATTAATACATTTAATGGCCCACATCTGTGGCTTTTTAAATTGCAATTAGTGTCTGTCTATAAAATAGTCAATGCGTTTATTAGCCCTCACATAGATGCACTGACCAGGCTGGATACTGAGTCATCGGGAGCAGAAAAGAACTGTCAAATGACCTACGTAACAAGGTAATGGAACATTATAAAGATGGAAAAGGATATAAAAAGATATCGAAAGTCTTACAATGCCAGTCAGTACTGTTCAATCACTTATTAGGAAGAAGTGGAAAATTGGGGGATCTCTTGATAGCAAACCAAGGTCAGGTAGACCAAGAAAGATTGCAGCCACAACTGCCAGAAGAACTGTTTGGAATACAAAGAAGAAAAAAAAAACACAGGTAACCTCAGGAGAAGTACAGGTTGCTCTGAAAAAAGATGGTGTGGTTGCCTTAGGGCCTGTTCACACGAGTTTCAGGTCCTGATCAGGTGCGGATAAGCAGACGCGGTGCTATGTGTTTTGCCGCGTTTTTGTTGGGCTGAGTGGGGCTGTCAGTATGTTAGCTGCAGTGCAGTGCGTTTTTGACGCATTTTGCATTTCCGGACCGTACAAAATGTGACATGCAGTATTTTTCTGTCGTAACCTGAACGGACTGCTCACGTGAGAACTGTAGGCCATAAAACACATAGGGATACATTGGGATGCATTTTTAGTGCAGGAGCGTATGGGTCAGGTCAGCACAGAAAACGGACATCGTTGAACAGGCCCTTAAGGAGTACAATACAACGATACTTGAACAAAAATTAACTGCATGGTCGAATTGCCAGAAAGAAGCCTTTACTGTGCCAATGCCACAAAAAAGCCCAGTTACAATATGCCCAACAACACCTTGACACGGCTTACAGATTCTGGCACACTGTAATTTGGAGTGACGAGACCAAATAGAGCTTTATTGTCACAACCATAAGCGCTATGTTTGTAAAGGAGTGAACAAGGCCCATAGTGACAAGAATACCATCCTTACTGTGAAGCATGGTGGGGGCTCACTGATGTTTTGGGGGGGGTGAGCTCTAAAGGCACGGGCAATCTTGTAAAATTTGATGGCAAGATGAAAGCAGCCTGTTATCAGAAAATACTGGCAGACAATTTGCATTCTTGTGCACAAAAGCTACGCATGGGACGCTCTTGGACTTCCCAGCACGGCAATGACCGTCAGCACAAGGCTAAGTTGACCCTCCAGTGGTTCCAATAGAAAAAAAATTGAAGGAGTGGCCATCACAGTCTCCTGACCTGAATATCATCGAGCAATCTCAAGCATGCCGTTCATACAAGACGACCCAAGACTTTGCAAGACCTAGAAAAGACAAATGGGCAGCTATACCCACCTGCAAGAATTCAGGGCCTCATAGACAACTATTACAAAAGACTGCACGCTGTCATTGATGCTAAAGGGGGCAATGCACAGTATTTTGAACAGGGGTCATTTCATTTTTTTATTTGTTGCCATGTTTTGTTTTATGATTGTGCAATTCTGTTATGACCCAAAGTTTTGTATGAATGCCATAAAAAAAAAAAAGGGGAGTGTGTTGCCTACTCTATTGTTTTTCTTTAAAAAAAATGGTACAGATAATTCTCCAAGGGTATGCAAACTTTTGAGCACAACTGTATGTGATAGACATCACATCGCTGGAGAAAGGCACTGTGTAAGGCAAGTCTGCCATGAGGTGCAAATATGCCGTACACATGGCAAGAACACTGGGGACCCCAATTATCTGAGACATTGCACTGCTGATGAAGGGCACTGTGTTAGGCAAGTCTGCCATAAGGTGCAAACACTGCTTGCCGTACACAGGGCAAGAGCACTGGGGACCCCAGTTATGTGATAGAGATTGCGTCGCTGAAGAAGGGCAATTTGTAAGGTAAGTTTGCCATAAAGGTGCAAATATGCTGTACACATGGTAACAGCATTGGGGACCCCAATCATGTGAGAAGACATTGCATTGCTGGAGAAGGGCACTGTGTTTGACATATTTGCACCTCATGGCATACTTGCATAACACTGCCCTTCTCCAGCGATGTAATGTCTATCACATGAGTGGGGTGCTCTAGCCATGTGTAGAGCATATTGGCACATTATGGCATACTGGCCTTACACATGGCAAGAGCACTGGCGACCCCAATTAAGTTTATTTCCACTTTAAATAAGCAAAACCTAAAAGTCAACCTGTCCTTTTCCTTTTAGTTTTCCGTGAAAGATTTAACGTCTACATTTTTTTTTTTACCTGGACACTACAGGTCTGAAGGAAATTTGGAAAATACTGCAGCCATTTATTTCTGCCAAGGAGCTCACATACTGATTAAGCATTCAGTTTGAGTGCCTGCCTTATATGTTTTGCAGTATAAAGGTAAGAGAAATGTATTTATATCAGTGTACATCATGGTATGAAGATCATTTCTGATAAAAACAAATTAAAAACGTGGTTAAAATCACCTAGCTGGAGTAGAATGCAGAGACATCAAACAACTATGCAGCAGACAGAGTATACATTTTCTGTGCACATACAGGCTTCCCATATGTAGACAAAGACAGTACATGCAAAATGCACATATGAAAACACGTCTTATCTACTCTACCAGCTGATGGTGATTTGCATTCATTACAAATGAAATATTAAATTAGCATGGGGTGTCTGTTGATCATAATATACTACATTTGCAGTGAGAGCTTAGTATGAATACTGCAGAATAAACTGCACCAGGTATCAAAATGGCATGCAAAAATACCTGGGCAGGTTTCTTCACCTTGCTATACAAAAAGAAATATTTTTTAAAGAAACATTGAGAAAATTCACACCCGATGACGCAAGTATTGAAGAAGAAAAAAAAATGTGGACGGAAATTGTCCAGATTCAGTTGCGTCCCAGAGCAATGCCAGTGAATCAATAGATCTCAGATACTGTCATGAGTAAACAACAAAGTGTCCTCACTGATGTCATTACCAATACAATTCATGCTGAGCACCAACCCATGGGTTTTTTCTACCTTTAGATATAAGCCAATCACAATGCATTATCATCACTTCAACACATGATAGAACATGGTATATTTGGATCACCTCCCCAATAGTGGGGGGCTCTCTAGAGCTCATACAGTGTAAAGCCAAGCTGTCCAAGTATTGCATATATTACAAGTGCTACATGTATTTCATTTCATGCTAATGTGTCACTAATCAAGGGGGAAAAAAAAATTGGACTTGCCTTCCCTTGAGTTTGAGGCTCCATTCACATTTATCGTTTGCGTTTCCCGTGCGGAAGACCGCATGGGATGCAAACGCTATATGTGAAAAAACTGCACCGATTCCGCTGCTTTGCGGCTATTTTATAATGTGCGGAATCAGCTTTATTTCATGCTTGGACTACAAAACCGTGCGGTCCCTGCAATAGTCTGAACAATGCACATTAAAGTGCATTGTTGTTTTCTGTTTAGAGTGGCTCCGCGCATATTCGTACAGCCGAATACCTTTGGACAGCCGCTCCAGTGTGAATGTGGTGTGATAGCCCTGGGTAGATGTAAACCCTAACATAGTCCGTTCACATCTATGCGATGTGTGCTGCCTTTATTTTTTAAATGGCACCCAATGCACTTTGCTATTACATGTGCATTAGATCACACCACATGGCATAGTGACCTATTACCATGCAATGTGGTGCGAAGCGTTTTATTTTTGTTTAACTAAAAAGGCTGCTGTACTTCTTTTAGTGTGATTTTGCTGCGGTCGGAAGCCCATTCAAATGAAAATCGGCTGTCCTTAGGCCCGTTATTATAATGAGGCAGCCTGAGGTGGTTGCCTCAGGCGGCATCTCATTGGGGGGTGCACTAAGCAACCTGGGACGCTCTGTGCGACTTCCTGCCCAGCTTACTGACGTCACCGGTTGCCAGGAGCTGAGTGGGATGCTCTGGCTTACATCCTAGGCGGGATACCAGATAGAGCCGCTGACAGCACGGTCAAGCGCCTGCGCCTCCAAACTGCCCCATCAGAACTAAAACTCAGCACAGCAACCCCTAGCCCCCATCACAAGTGACCATACCCTGCCAGCAACCCCCCCCCCCCCCCCCCCGTCAGCCCCCCCCCCCTCCCCCCCCCTCCTC